TTATCCGTTAAGCTACGTGATAATGTAAGTTTCCTATGTTAAGTTACGCTGTAACGTGACCTTGCGTGATCAAATACGTCACTTGATCACATAATTGTTTTTGTGACACGAGTAACTGCTTTCGGTCGTCGTTCGGCCGGCAGATAGAGCGCTTAGCAATTGCCGGCATAGCTCAATAGCACGAGGCTGTCTGCGGCTCGTGGCACGCACACCGCGACGCCACACGTACACGCGCGGTCATTTCATTTCATTTATTGATCGTGGGCACATCAGCACCTTGTACATAGTCCTGACACCTTGTGCTGCATTCTAACTCGCATGATACCTTACTGTTGTGTGCCTATGTGCAACTCGGACTCGCGAGTTGCACTTCCTATTGGTCATTAAGCAGGCTTTTATGGCTCCTTGTAATTCCCTCCTTGGGCACCAAGACAGGGGAGGACTATACTATCCATCAGAGAAGCTAGTGAGGGTGTTGTGTGCGCTGGAAGAACTTCATAGAGATTTTACAGAAAAAACGAAATATGCTGAAAAAGCCGTTGCATGCAGCTGGTGATACTGCGGTGGATACACTTATACACCATGGCGCTCTAAAATACGCAAAGGTAAAGAAAGATGTCAACCATTACAAAGATTTCCTGCAACTAGGTATTAGGTATTTCAGGCCAATTTTTACAAACTACTCGGCATCCCTGACTGACAAGCATGACCCCAAGAAGATCTTCGCCAGCAAGCCACTATTTACGAAGTCGTTAAAACTCTAGAACTGCATACGTGAAAAACAGTGCGGACCACAAGAGACCGGTCAAAAACATCAAGGGGCTGTGCGCTTAAAAAACAAATTGAAAATGTATATCAAGATCCCTGGTCAGAGTGCTGCCGACGGGTACGCAGGTTTTTGGTCAGCGGGGACGCGTTCGCGGTCCTGAGAAAAAACACTTGACTGCCGCATGTAGTCCGCGGGCCGTGTGTTTTGCGGCTCTGCTCCAGTAGCAATAAAACGCTAAGTGGTCGCTGTATCAACGTTTTGGAAGTCTGCCAGCCTGTCTGTCTCCTTTTTAATTGGCATTGACTATTTCTGTTGTCCATATGACAAGCACCAGAGGTCTGCTAACATTTCAGCATAGAAACAAAACCAAGACGTGAAAGCTAAAAGAAAGGTATAAGACTTATTTTATATATGAACTCTATACTGACGGTGCCCTGTGCCTGCTATGTAGCATGGGTTACGAATGTATTCAATTCACAAATGGCATCACAGTGGACTGGCAGCGGGAAGCGAAGAAGAGTCGTCTGCATTTTTTTATGGGGTTTTGGCGCCTCTAGTAGCAAATATGTGAAGCAGGCGCAACGACAACGAAGCATGGGGAAGCCAACCACTGGGCAGGCATTATCAGTATAAAGGAGGCTATGATTAAACTAGATTAAAACTAGAAAAAAAAATATTATTCTACACTAGTCCATGCACGCGAGAGGAAAGAATAATCGATGGGTAAACCAAAAAAATACTTAGCTACGCAGCTGTTCGGAAGACTCCTCCATCCGGGATGAATGATGTTGATCCTTGTTGATCCTTGATGTTGAGCCGTTGCAGCGCCCAATGTTGCTTGCAGCAAGCGGACGCGCACAATGAGTTTTAGCGGTCTCGAATAACAATCTGAATGCCCTAGTTTTCAGTTTCCTCTTTATTAAAACAAAATATCCATCTAAAACAGTCACTTCGTGTTCTGTCAATTTCCTTTTCTACGTCCTCTTCTTTACTCAAGTCAGTTTCGTGTCGCCCGCACTTGTGTGTGGGTGACACGCACAAGGTACCACTACATTATCCACTGATTATCGCTGTCTGAAATGAAGACGAGCCTCGTTGAGATTTCCTTTCAAGTTCGAAAGAGGACGGCGAAGTTCAGTCCTAGAAACGTTAAGGAAGAAGTGAACAGTGAAAGGCGGGCGGTACATTGGCAGCATGGTTAACCAGCATGTAAGAACTTTATATAACACCATCATAAATTAAAAACCGTGTAATTCTGCTTCAGTGAAAATATACCTATTACTAAATTACCCATCGAGGAGAATGCTGAAAGTGTAATTCTATGCTCCACATGCGCTGGCCTTTCCTGTATAAAAGATTCGGAGTAAAATATCATAATAGGACTTTGACGAACACGCATGCAAGGCAAAATTTGTTTTAGGCTTTTGCTTTAGAACAGTTACTACTGCAGATGCCAGCACATGCAGCACGTGTAACAGCACTCGTAGCATGCACCTTGGTGCTTGGGAAAACTAGCAAAGGGTCTATAGGGACTCTGTCTGCTTCCGCGTGCTATCAGTACCCGGTCGATTGAGTAAAGGCAATTCACGATAGTATTCCAAAGACATTGCCATGCCAACAATTACCGCGTTCATTTAGGCTTAATAATGTCCAGAATCGAAAGACCATCTAAAAAATGTCACGAGGTCATTGCTCATGCTTTGCAATTTAAGTGAGGTAAGGCAAAGCGAAAGCCTCCTGTATCAATCATTGCTGACTAATGCGCCTGTTATTGCAGCTACTACGACATATTAGTTCCAAAGCGAGCGACGCTCGCTCACAGGGGCACCGCCATGTCTCCCCGCCGTCCTTACTCTGCCAATCACTTGAACTTAAATTCTCCCTCGTAGGGAAATACGGTTATCTTTTTACCGGGTTAAAGTTAACCGGCTTCGAGCAAACGGGCTCAGGAGTTACACACCAGTATAGCAAAACAGTTCAACACCAACAAGGGTGAACGACCTGCATTTGTAAGGTTATGATGAAATGCAATTAATGCAAAGGTGCAAGCGAACTGGACAAGAATGATGATAATAATCCCTGGACAAGGGGGACAAAGACAAACACAAATCTCCATACACAGCAGGTGACTGGTGTGCGACCAAGATTCATGTTTGTCCCTTGTTCCCCTTCTCCAGGGATTAGTATCGTGATTCTTGTCCAACTCGCTTGCACGTATTTTTGCATTAATTGCATTATCATCATAACAAGAAGCACATAAGCACGCACCTATGCGCCCCGTGCTATACTCGCAATTGCTATTGCATACAGATGACTAGATATATATTTTTTAATTATGAAGACAGTTTTGTTTTCTAACATGAGGAAACTAGTGTTTTTGCATCTTTATTGGAGTTCTGAAGCACGGGAATATGTCTCGATTGGCAAATGTAATAACGCGAACAGAGTTGGAGTCGCTCTGGTCTAAAGACAGCATTTTCTAATTCCGCTAAACACAGAAGATTAAAAAAAAAAAATGCCATTGTAGTTTTGAGCATTTGGACATCGACATGCACTGCACAAATATGTTGTGTTTACCCGTTCATTGTAGCAACTGCTGAAAGCAGGCAGATGATAGAATGAACCTCTTCCTGTACGTAAGTGCAATTTTAGTAGATTGTAGGCGAGGACTGCACTGCTAGTGGGAGCTCGTGCCGTCGCTTTGAGCATGGATTAATGAGCATAGCTACCGCACTGCACGCAGTCCTTAGCATAATCTGTACGAAAACTTTCTATACTCTAACTCAGGAGTTGTGTGCAGCAAAGGCATAGGCACGGGCACATGGCTTTCAGATTTGCTTGCCTCTCGCAAGTGCTCATGAACAGAAAGCAAATCTGAAAGCCACGTTCTCGCCTGTGCTTCTGCCTCTGCTGCATGCAACTTATGAAATGAAGTATAGTATCTTAAATGAAGTACATTTGCAGACTCAGCATTACTCGAGCTAGACAAAAAAAAAAAACAGCTTGACGCGTTCAAATCACAGACTTTTCGGTAATCTTTAACGTTGCCGATCATTATGTCAAACCAGCAGCTTGGTTTACTTCGTATACAGTTTATAAACATTGAATAGTACCTGTAACTGTGCACGTGTGCACGGAGGAATATGCAACATCTGCTATTTACGCGCCTCGTGCATTTAATTACCCATCAATTGCACTTGTCTTCCTTTGAGGCAGTCGAAACGTTTCCGACCAATCCGAATGTCTTGATCGCTGAAGATTTCTTTTCCCATCGAAAAGATAAAGAACTTATTTTTTTCTTCGCAATGCTGTTAATACAAATCATACCGCAGCAAGATGGCATCGCGTTGCCGACAAGGTCATGGTACATAAAAAAAAAACAAAAAAACTATGGCCGGGTCATAAGCAACAGAGCCACCACCGTATGCCTCGCATGGAAATGGCGCCAGTTCAGAGCAGACAACCGAATCGTGCAGGATCATGGGAAGGTAACAGTCACGTGTGATACCCGATCCAATTGAAGTAAGGGAAAGAGAAACTTTTAAAGGGAAAGGGCATGGGCAAGGAGAAATTTCTCTTCCCCATTTCAGACAATGGTTTGCGCTACCTTTCAGTATATAGGAACCTTAGTCGACACAGCCCATTCAATATTTTACAGATATCGACTGGATCAAAATGGCATCGGCACAGTCTTTCCGATTTGACACTAATATCGGCACAATACTCTGTGCTGCCTGGGGTGCTTGGGCACCGGATGTGGTGACTCCAAGCTTCCACCATGCTTTTTAAGCATACCATGGAACTTGCCGTTCTCAAAAGATGATAAGTGTTGTCACGGCACTCATTGGCCAAGAACGCAAAATCAAATATTCGTAGACGGATTGATTGTTGACGAGCGCATACGTCCAAGTGACTCAGTGCTCGTGTCCAGGGCGTGAGCTGGGGTCGGCTAACGTGCTTTGGGTGCTGTGAATATATCGTGAAAAGGGGGGAGCTTTCGAAGGAAAGGAGATAAGAAATGGTCCGCTATATTTTCAAATTTTCACGCAGAAAATCAAGTTTTTGGCTTTCTATTCTGGTGTACGTGCTAGTTTTCTTTTGGCGCACTAAATGATATGCAATTAGTAGAATACCAATTGATCCCAGCCCAAAATCTGTTTTATGGTCCCTTTAAGCTAGACATATCGGCTTGAGTACTTGGTGGGTGAATCTGAATGCATGTTTCTTTCAGGTTGTAACAGAGTCATCATTGCTTCATAGGGCTGCAGCTGTTGAAGGGAAACTGAAGGTAAGAAAAACTGTAGTTCCTTATGCGGAGGGTAAGTCGTCTGCTTCTTGCGCAGGAGTTGCGGTTACGTCAGAAAAACGTCGAGCTCTGATTGGCTTTGATTGAAGATAGTGTGTAGACCTCAATGCTAAATGCCTTGAGGTCTACCCACTATTTTTTCAATCAGCCAACAAGAGCTCGGCGTTTTGACATCATCACAAAATCTGCAAGAAGCAGACGAGCTTGCACTTCGCATACCCTGCCCGTCCCTTGTTAATTTAGGTTTGTCTGACATGAAATAAGTGTTTACTGGATAAATCATATCTGCTGTTCCTTTCAGGTCGCAACACAAACAGATGCAAACACCTGTAACCTTCCTTCGTCTTGTATCATCCTCAGCTCTATCCTCTATTCACATGATGAGGCCCCTGTGGAGTGTAATCACAATCCTGCCCCTGCCCCTGCCCCCCCCCCCCCCCCCCCTCCCCCCCCCCCCAGACAGAGACCTCCGAAAAGGTATTGGAACCGTAAATGTGGACCAGTTCCAGCCCGGAGGATTCAACGGCTACAAGTTTATATCATCTGACAATGAGCACAGTGAAGCCTTAAAGGATCTGATGGGAGTCTTGACTGCCTGCTTTGCAGTTCTGTTACGGATGCTGACAGGGTTGGGCAGTATCACGATACAAATGTACTGCAATATTATTTCATAAATACTTTTAGTATTTATATATCTGTATTGCGATACAATTTTTTCAATCAGTATCTGTATTTCAGTATTGGAATACATTCTCGGCTTATTCCTTGTATCGCTATAAAATACTGGGCCAATGTATCTCGTTACAATGCTCAAGAAATCAGTGACCCCTCAAGCGAGAGACTGTTTCCTTTCTTTTTTCACACTTCAAAGGGGTGGAAGGTACTGTAAATGTGACCTTGAGGCTTTGTTTATTTCTAACATTATGCTCCCAAGATTGGTGACCCCCTTCCCTATTTTCCAGCAATATGTCTTCCAGGGTGCTTCCGTTGGGCAACTATTTTTGTTGAATCAAAACGATGAAGGCACTGTGCGTACAAGCTTTAAAGCTGTACATTGCACTCCAAGTCTCATTTACTAAAGCAAGCGTAAAGTTTCTTCCTTGAGATTATCCAATAAAAGAACACCACTTCATTCCAAGGCGACGTCTTGAAGTGACAGAGAAAAAGGCACCGACATGGGACTAGAGGATGCTAACCTTTCGGTGATATTTGAATAGGTATAAAACGAATTTCGAGGTTCATGTTATATTGAAAGTATTTTCAACCTATTAAAGACCCGCTTAGTTCACACAGGTTCATGTTAGAAGGAAAAGGACAATTTCATGCGAAAATAATTTTGGGCTCGAGAGTTTCTTTTGTTTTCACTAGATGACTCCTTTTTCGCCTTAGAAGCACAAACTCTGTCGACAAAGCCTGCATGTTACTACCTCCAAGCAAGGTCTTCGTAAACATATAAAAAATAATACTGGCATGGTTTAAAACGTTTTCACTGTGAAAGCGGTCTTCGTTTGTTTTAATGTAAACCCGTGTTTGTTGACACTTGTGGAACGCTTAACCTTTTCGCTAACATGAATCTTTTCCCAAATAGGCAGCAGCTCACTGACGGGCTCTTTAAAAAGCTGCTTTTCATCCAATGTAGTCGAGTGTAGCAGCAACGTTGTATATTTACATTTGTTTGGTATTGCTTCCAGATATAAAAATAGTACATGTAGCAAAAGGTAGTTTCAGTTTTGTTTTCCAAATAGTAACTTTTTGCCGGTAATACAAAAGTTCACATCGCAAAGGGCTTCTTTTTTTAAAGTATGTGAGAGCGTTACTGCCCCGGGACAATAAAAATTCCTGTAAATGTATTTTCTAATACAGTAAAACCTCGTTATAACAAAGTTGAAGGAGCGGTCGTAATTATTTCGTTATAACCATTAGTTTGTTATAGCCAATGTCCATTTCTTCCCACTATTAGCAAGCAAGGGGAATTATGATTGCTTTGTTATATCCATTAGTTTGTTATATCCCGTTTTGTTATAACGAGGTTTTACTGTACTTTTTTTTTTATGTATTGTGTGTATCGCGATACTTTAGTACAGATGTATTTCAGTATCGGTATCTTAGCGGTCTTCATCGTGTATCCCAGTATTTGTATTTCCAAATACATTTTAGAGTATCTCTGCCCAACCCTGGATGCTGACACGGGTATGATCATCTGCAGTACTAACAAGATCAATCAGTTTGTTTATCTTTTACCTAAAGAATGTTCATATTAAAGTCACTGAATCCTGGGAAAATAGTGCCATTGCCTTGCCATTGCCATCTCCACGGATCTCTTACAATTATATTGTTCTTGCGTATTTCAAAACAGGAAAATTAATTTTCAATGCCTCCAAGCACCAACACCGCATGTGTCGGTGCTCGGCACACCCTGGTGGTGGTACAAAGATGTATGCTTGCTTCGCCGGTGTGTGAATAGCAAAATCTCAGTATACAAAAAACGTCTCTACAAAGCTGCCTATCACCAGCAAATTGTGATTGGCTCTGTAAGAATAGAAAGGTCGAGCAGAAATTTTTAATCTCATGAGCCAAAATTCTGACCATACAGGGAGCTTGACGCTACTTTCCCTCGATCCAGTTACTTTAGTTCGCATTAGCTGCAACCAAAATGGCTGAGTCGCCGAGCAACCTTGCATCGATTGCCACATGACACCTGTCCGGAGAAGCGGGTAGTTTGGTCACATTGCTTTCAATTTATGAATCAAAGATGATGAAGAAGATAGGCACGAAGCATTTTGAGTTACGGTTCCTTCTTCCAGTCATTTCCTGGATCGCTTTCTATCTGTTGCTCAGTTGCCCTGGCAATTCTGTCACCCTTGTTTCAGTCGCACTGAATGCAACTGATGGAAATGTATAATCTAGATATCAGACAAAACACAGCAGCCCTGATAAGGCTGCCCTATTGTACGACTTGTTGCAATGTTAGTTTATATGGAGCATCCAACAGTATAATATCTGCTGCGGACATTCCACCCACCCAACTGCCACATTGGTGTTACGCTCTGGTGCGATATGCCTTATACTCTTCTTTGTAGTGGGCTTCTTTTCAATACCATACTCGCAGGCTTCTGACCAAAATGTCATCTGGTTGCAGAGATTGTGTGCAAGCTCCTCAAAGTCTGCTTCATGCACGCATATTTTGTGTGCATTAGAACTTGCAGAAAATCTTTCGTTTCTGAGCAAGTGCCATTCAGGTCACAGGCTTTGTCGCACGGTTGTTGTTGCCAGAGAGTCACACGTGTCTAAATGTGTTCAGCATTTTCAATTTCTTGTAGCATGCTCTCGGTCGACAAAAAGCAAAGAGAGGACCACCCGATGCGTGGCAGTACCTCCTGCAAACGTTTCTCGTTTTGGTGAAGCTGCAAAAGGGCTCTTAGCATAAGCTCCTGAGTGCTGTTCATATTAAGAACCACCTCTGGAATGTATATGATAAGAGGAGTAGGGCATGCTTTTGGAGGGAACATCATCTGAAATTCCACTCCTTTGACATACAGCTTCAGCTGCTTGTCGGAGGGCAACTTCCACTGGTTCGGTCGAGAAGTTTGCATTGCAGAGTCTTCATATTGACATATGCGACAAGTGCCGCTGTGTGTTTACATTTTCCTTCAATTCTGCCTTTGCAGTCGCAGTGGGCTTAGATAATCTGTCTTGCCGCATCAAGCTGCAGAGAGTTTGGTTGATACAAAAGTGACGAAGGGGCTGTCGTGTCCATCTAATGTTATGTGAGGTTTGTTCCGAAAGTAACACGAATTAATTTATTGTGGGCCACACTCGGCACTGGGCAGGTGTTACATCATCTACTTCGCAGGAAAAAAGGAAGGAGAAGAAACTTTTTCCAGTTCGAATCTGTATGGATGGTTGTGTAGGAGGAGAGCAAGAAGCTACATTGTTCCACTTTTTGTTAGCCTCTCATCATGGTTGTTAATAATAATAATAGTTTTATTAGCACAAGATCATGCGCATACATTGATTACTGCCTCACGAAAGCAATTGTGTGCTTGTGTGTGAGAACAGGCAGTCCATAAAAGAAAAGCAAATAAAAAGAAAAACAAAAAAGTAAAATAAACCAATCTCAATTTTGAAACCACATGTTAAAAATTTAGTTTCGTATCATCATTGCACCTTTCTGCGAAATAAAAGCAAACAGATTTACAGATTACATAAAACATATGTCACATGCTTTCCGGTTATGATCAAAGAAAAAAAGACTGTCTATGCTATGCACTTTATACAATCATGTTTTACATTGTACTTCGCACAAAGTTAGGTACATCTAGGAGAACACGATGGGTTCGTTAAGAGAGCAAAACAATAACACAAATATATTTTTCCCTTCTCGATCCACGATATGTTCGCAATAGCAAGAGAATATTTCAAATACGGAGAGATCACTTAGATGCAAACATTCAAACGTACAGGTCCAAAAACATTGACACTCACTTTCACTTCTGCACGAGGTTGAACCATTTCCTTACTTCTTTTTTCACCTCTGTTAAGGACGAGAGATTGAATAAATTATCTGGAAGATTGTTGAAATATGTAGGAACGTAATGTTTCCACATTTTTTTTTCCAAAATCGGTGTTTATCATTCGAATGCCAAACCTTTCTGTGTGCCTAAGACTTTTTTGTTTGGTGGATGGTACTCTGAAATTACACGAAAAATAAATAATTTGTGAAGATTTCAAACTTGTGTAGGTTATCAGTGGCCAACAGGTCCAGGTCGGTCAGCTGCTCTTCAAAGGTTGGATTCTCCAAGGTGTGTGCCGTAGGTAATATTTTTTATCATCCTTTCAATTAGAATATCAATTTTTTGTCCTTTGCAGTTTAAGCAGAACACGTAAATTGTTATCCCATACCTTAGTTTAGATTCCCCTAGCACTTGGTAAATAATTCGTCTTAAGTTAATATCTGCACAACTTCGTAATTTATAAAGGTACAATGAAATTATCCACAAATGCTTGAGTAAGTAATCCACGCGTGCAGATTCTAGTACTTTGTTTCCGTAACGTAGGGTAGTGGTAAACAACGGCACTGTCTGCATATCGTTGAATGCAAGTAAACAGGCTCTGTAAGATTAATGTGTTTTTGATGAGTTCTAAAGCACATCAAATGTGTTTTTTCGTTGTTCACAAAAATACTATTTTTTGAAAACCAGCTCATTATTTGTTTTATATCCTCCTGCAGAGTTGAGACTGTGGTAAAGTAATTTTCATCTGCCAAGATCTAAAGCTGTATCATCAGCATATCAAGGGCAGCAAGGCGAGATCATTACCATATAGATTAAAAAGCATAGGGCCTAACACCTAGCCTTGGGGTACACCATAGATGCGGTGCAAGGCTTCACTTGTATCTTCCCCATTTCTGACTTTTTGAGTTCTGTTGAAAACGTAGCTTCGAAACAATCTGAGAAACGGCCCTCGGAAACCAATGCTTTCCAGTTAATCTAGCAATATAGTGTGGTCAATTGTATGGAAGGCTTTCGGCAAATCTAAGAACAGTGCAAGTACTATTTGGTTCTTGTCTATGTTGTCATTCATAAAGTCCGTTATATCTTCGAGTAACAGTGTCGTGCTTTTTTGTTGTCTGAAGCCGTACTGACTGTTGCCAATTAATAAATACTTGTCGCAAAAGGAGGTAATTATTTTTAAGACTATCTTTTCCATGATCTGCGAGATGACAGGCAGCAGCGCGAAGGGCCTATAATTGTATAGTTCTTTTTTATTCCCCATCTTGTATATAGGCCTGACTACTGATACCTTCAGCTTACTAGGCATATTTCCTGTAGCCAGAATGCCATTTAATATCGCAAACAAAACATCTTTTAAGCTGCTAAAGTTAGTTTTTATATCTCTTACCCTTATGTGATCGTTTCCAGCTGGCTTTGTTACTTAAGTATATCCCTTAGCTCCAAAACTGTCATTTCTGGCAGGTACGCAGAATTCGGGAAATAGCCTAAAAGCTTTGTTTTTTCTGCAAGGTTGCTTGTTTGGTTCCATTGATCTTGTACCCAGAGGTCGGCATTTTAGGTCGCCCTCACTCACCCTCACAGCCACACTCACCTAAGCCCCTCACTCACCCTCACCCTCACAGCTACACTCACCTTCAGCCCCTCACTCACCTTCACCCTCACAGTTACACTCACCTTCAGCCCTTCACTCACCCTCACTGAACCTCACGGCCCTCTCGCACTCACCACCCTCACGGCCCTCACGAAACTCACCGCCCTCACGCCACTCACCGCCCTCACGGCCCTGACGCACTCATAGCCCTCACGCCACTCACTGCCCTCACGGCCCTCACGGCCCTCGTACCACTCGCATCCCTCACGCCACTCACCGCCCTCACGCCCCTCACCGCCCTTGCGGCCCTCGCACCCCTCACGACCCTCATGCACTGATTGCCCTCACGCCACTCAGGCCAGCTTCAGATGGGGCAATTTCGCCCAGAAACTTTACGTCGCAACACCAGCAACACGGGCCGCCCGCGATCACACGCAGCAACCAATTGCTGCAATTTGCCATCGTCATCATAAAATTTTATTTTTCTTGCACTATTTAGACACAATTACGTGTTATAAACGTGTTTTTATGCATTTAAATCTCGTTAAGAATACTAATGCACCTTTCTGAAACAGTTTATTTCCAAAAAAACGATCGATTTTAAACCAGAACCAAGTCTTTCGGTGTCATCATCACCGGCACGAGGTATCACGTGAAAATTTTGCGTCCCTGATTGGATGCAGCCGCTTCAAACGTGTTCAAATTGCTCCGAGTTGCTTGCTTATTTCGAGCCGGACTTGATCTCAGCAA